TTGATATGATAGGACATACATGTTGGTCTTCAAAGTCACAGTCAGCATTCTGAACGATAGTTTCATGCTGGATTTTTCCGGATTTTAATGTAATCAACGGTTCATCTCACCCTTTCCCACATCAGCTGCAGCAGAGATAGTTGTCTCGCTTGCGTATGGAGGCGGGGCAGGAGGAAAGGAGAGGAGAAACAAAGCCCTAGTGTTTTGAGCAGGCAGTCATTCTGCAATCGCTTAAAATCAGTACTGATAAATATATTGTTAATACAGGAAAAGTACCAAGCATTTAGAATCTGAGTATTTTTAAGCGGATGAAAACAACATAGCCTCCTGGAACATGTGAGTGTTCCTAGTCTTTTGAATACATGTGTATTAAATTCTCCGTGTTAAAAGAAAAGGAGTACTTGTGGCACCTTAGAGACTAACCAATTTATTTGAGCATAAGCTTTCGTGAGCTTTGAGCTGTAGCTCACGACAACTTATGCTCAAATAAATTGGTTAGTCTCTAAGGTGCCACAAGTACTCCTTTTCTTTTTGCGAATACAGACTAACACGCTGCTACTCTGTAACCTGTCATTCTCCATGTTGCAACTTTGGAAAATGGCGGGGAACGCTAGCGAGAAAACAAAGGGGTAGAGTATTATGTGTCAGAAGCTGGTTGGTCAGAATTTGCTGCAGACTCCAAAGAGCTGAATAAGGCTGCTTCAATTATGTAAATCAGATCTACTCATCTCACCAGGAATATTCGCTTCAGGAGAAATGCTCCCTTCGTGTTGTATCTTATATTGGTCCATTTAAACGATGTGGAAACATCAGCACCGCCAACAAAATGTTTTAGAGAGAAGGGGCTAGAAAGTGTACACTATCAATTGGTCGGCTTGTAAAATAGCTTCATCAGACCACCAGAGAACGAGAGAAGAGGGAGGAACAACAACAAATTACTAATAATACAAGCTGTTTGAAATCGGTTCTTGTGTTAAGTAATGTAGTTACAGAGACATCCAATATTGTCGGCAATGGGTTTCCATTGCAGTTATAATTATAATAATCATAGGTTTCGATATTCTAAATTGGACATTATTTTCTCTGAAACTATTCTAGAAATGCGAACTTTGAGTTTATTGCACGTTTGGCGGAGTCTAAACTGACCCAGAGGCAACGGGATGTTGGAGGGTGTGGGAGAAGGACAGAGAACCGTGCCCATAACCTGCCTCTTTCCTTTAGTTTTTAATCGGGTCTGAACTCAAGGAATATAAGAAGAGGCAGCGCAGGCCTATACGCATTAAGAGTTTTTCTGTGTATTTTGATAGTTTTGTACAAACAAATTATAACTGACTTTGTATTTTGATTCACACTGTGTGCTCGTGGTAAAAGTAGAAAGGGAGTAGGGAAAGGAGCTTCTAAATGCCCTAGAAACGTGCTGAGAGCGAGCATTCAGGGTATTACTAAAGCCTATTCGTCGGCTAGCTACCCGAATGATCTATGAAGAGACCCCTGGGGAGCTCAACGTTTTCATTCAGGATGCAGTCAGTCACCTACATTCAAGTGCCAAGCGAAAAACGGTGACGGCCATGGACTTGGTTAATGACTGCCTTAAAGTGCCAGGGATACACACTGTATAGATTTGAAGGTTAAAATCATTTTGGTAACATCTACAACACAAAGGCTCTTTTGTGCTGTAGTGCCTTCATATATATATATATATATATATAAACTTAAAAGGAGTCAAAGTGTTTTAAAGAAAATGGGTAAAAAATCTAATCTTACCAATACCACAAATTTAAACAGTCTGTAGTTACATTTTTATTTTGCATTATAGTTAACTTAGGCATGTTTTAACATTTAAAGTTTAGAAAATATGCCACGGAGTGAGTGAGTGATTGAGCTTCTTAAATCTATTTAGTTTAACAAAGAGGAAGTTAAGGCATGGCTTGATTACAATCTGTACCTACATGGGAACAAATATTTAATAATGGGCTCTTCAGTCTATCAGAGGAAGGTATAACACAATCCAATGGCTGGAAGTTGAAGCTAGATAAATTCAGTCTGGAAATAAGGGTTACATTTTAAACTATGAGAGTAATTAACCCTTAGAACAATTTAGCAAGAGTAATGGTGGATTCTCCATCAGTAACAAATTTTAAATCAAGATTGTATTTTTTTCCTAAAAGATGTGATCTAGGGATTATTTTGGGGGAAGTTCAATGGCATGTGTAATACAGGAAGAGAAACTAGATGACCACAATGTTACCTGCTGGTCTTAGAACCTTATTATTTGGAAAATAAAATAAAATATAATATAAAGCTGAATAAATTTCATTAAAAACAGATGAGTGGCTCTAAAAATATGTTAAGTACATTTAACCCCTTAGTAAGAGAAGATTTATTAGGGGGTGGTGAATTTAGTGAAGACTGAGAATGAAAATCAGAGATGTATGTAGATTTACGAATTCCAAAAGGGATACTGCACTGCTTTTATCGGTGGGAGAAACAGTCTCTCCACGCGAGTCAAATCCAGAATTCTAGACCCCCCCATTTGAAAGCGCGGGCTTTTCAAACTGTCCAATCAGAATTAAGAATTCAAATTTAGCGCTGTCTCAGATCAGCCCAATAGCTTTGAAACCACCAAGAAATCTTAAGAACCATACACTATTAACAAGGTGGAGGAAAAACAAATAAAACACAAAAACAACCAACCACCTCCCAATCAAACCAAACAACTAGAGTGCTCCTTAAATTATATGCACACACACACAAATTAAATTTCCAATCAACGCTTTAAATAGAATCCATATGTGTTGTTTCTCATGAATTCCGAATTAAGCCACGGAGACTAATTAGGTTGTAATTTCGTTTCAACCCTGGCATTTCATGTCAGCTGGGCTAGTGCTAATCAGGTTACTGTTACCTTTTATTATTTAAAAATACAGCTCCGGTGTCGTCTCGAAATCATAATTTAAATGATAACAATGACAATAATAATACTTCATTAAGTTTCGAAGTATATTCCTTGGCCAACCGACCTCCAGTTTATTCTGTGGGAGGGTGTGCTACCTCTTTCTGTTTGAAATACATTTATAATGAATTCATTGATACAAATCACTGGCTTTCTTTCCTAATTAGAAGAAGACCATCAAAAGAATAGCATTACATTATTTCTCTGATCTTTTTAACAAAGGGACATTTTTAATTTACAAAGAAAATGAAAATGTTCTGTCTCCCGCTGTCCATCCAGCTTCAGTACTCAGGGTTTATAATCTTTTTTTTTAATGCAATTTTATTATTTACTGAAGGAAACACTAATGAATGAAAATATCCTGTTTCAACTTAATTTGGGTGAGAAAGGGGACAATTTGGTGGCAAATATCGTGCAAAAAATACACTTTATTGACTCCGAAGAAACACAAAATAAGAGAGGAGAGAAGAGCCCTTTCTGGTTTGCAGCGGGGCGGGTCTTTAACGCACCAATCAGACAGTGACCCCTCCCTATAAATAACAGGCATCAGGCTAGTTCACTTCAGTTCATGTTCTTTCCGATTTTGTAACGTGTCTGTGACCATGTCTGAAACTGCGCCTGTAGTTGCAGCAGCAGCTGCCCCTGCTCCAGCTTCCAAGGCTCCAACTAAAAAAGGAAAGAAGGCGGCAGCGGGTTCGAAACTCCGGAAGCCCTCGGGCCCCAGCGTGACCGAGCTGATCACTAAGGCAGTGTCAGCCTCTAAGGAACGCAAAGGGCTCTCTTTGGCTGCTCTTAAGAAAGTTCTGGCAGCTGGAGGCTACGATGTAGAAAAAAACAATAGTCGTATTAAGTTGGGGCTAAAGAGTCTGGTGAGCAAAAGCGTTTTGGTACAGACCAAAGGTACCGGTGCCTCGGGTTCCTTCAAACTCAGCAAGAAGTCGGGTGAGACAAAGGAGAAGGCACCTAAGAAAAAGCCAGCGGCAAAACCTAAGAAACAAGCTGCCAAGAAACCTGCCAGCGCCGCTAAGAAGCCTAAGAAAGCTGCGGCCGTAAAAAAGAGCCCGAAAAAAGCCAAGAAACCAGCGGCTGCCGCAGCCAAAAAAGCAGCCAAGAGCCCGAAAAAGGCCAAACCTGCCAAGCCCAAAAAGGCAGCTAAGAGCCCGGCTAAGGCCAAGGCGGTGAAGCCTAAGGCTGCCAAGCCCAAGCCAACCAAACCTAAAGCAGCAAAGGCTAAGAAGGCAGCGCCTAAGAAGAAGTGAAACTGTTTGAAGAGAAAATTAAGAGTCTCGTGCAAACAAACCCAACGGCTCTTTTAAGAGCCACCCACCCTCTTCCCCAAAGGTGCTGAAACACCTAGTGTTCTGTGTATCAAAGGTTGCTTTGGTGGAGAACCCGCTTTAGCAGTTAACCTTCCAAAAACTCATACTCCTTTTTCTATACAGTTTAAGAAACCACTTTAAATTAATCTCTGAACCAGAAACAATTTAGAAAAATCTGTAAAATTGGTTGTGTTAAGTTTTTTTTAAATCTATGCTAGCAGGGATTCTAGCCATTATTTATTTAGACTTTCTGCTGTTAAAGCTCGTCCCGCCAGCTAAGAATGAAAGTCTGCTTGTCATTTAGAACGCCCTTCTCTGTCTATTTTGCTTAGCTGTTGGAAAAGTCTTTTTGCGGGTATTGGGGGAAAATTTGAAAAAGTCCGCGCTTTTTAGCAATTGGATAATTTGAAAAATCCGCGTTTTACAAGGATTGGTCAATGACACCCTTTCCCTTCCTCCCCTTTTTCAGTTTGAATTAAGTGAATCTACTCTATTTACACCAGAATATTTAATTTGTACGGGTAACTGTTTCAAAATTACACCAGTTTTTCTAAATTTAATTCTCGATTTTTAACTGATTTCCGTCTATAACCTAGTACTCACGAAAAATATGTCTGAGTAACCTTGGCCCTGGTTAACTCAGAATAAGGAAGACGGTGGAACGAACGTGATTTAAGCTTTCACCCTGATCAGTCTATAAAGACAAAATTTCACTTAATGAGAAGGAATCAAGGCACATATTTCTTTATTATTCCATATTTTCTTCATTTTAAACTACTCAGAACTTCTGGTTTTTGAAGTGTATATAATGGATTAGTGTATTAGGAACTCAACTCTTTTTCTGCTACTGTGGGTGGCTCTGAAAAGAGCCTTTGGGTTGATTTAGTATATGGTCACTTTTACTTGCTCTTCGCCTTATGGCTCTCAGTCTTCTTGGGCAGCAGCACGGCCTGGATATTGGGCAAGACACCCCCTTGAGCGATCGTGACTTTCCCCAACAGCTTGTTGAGCTCCTCGTCGTTTCGGATGGCGAGCTGCAGGTGACGGGGAATGATCCTGGTTTTCTTGTTGTCCCGAGCAGCGTTGCCAGCCAACTCCAGTATTTCAGCAGTCAGATACTCCAGCACCGCAGCCATATAGACCGGGGCGCCAGCCCCCACCCGCTCAGCATAATTGCCTTTGCGGAGAAGACGGTGCACACGACCTACTGGGAATTGTAGGCCGGCTCGTGAAGAACGAGATTTGGCCTTCGCCCTTACTTTACCTCCTTGCTTTCCTCGACCGGACATTGATTCTCTAGTTGATAAAACTAAAGCACTTTTTAAAAAACAAAATCTGAAATTAGGAGCGCCCCGCCCTAATCCTGCCTTTTTATCCCTTCCTTGTGGCACAGAAACTGATTCACGATTGGCTGAAAATTTGCATTGTATTTCCAACCAATGGTGATGAGGATTTTATTTTGACCAATTGGGTGTAGGATTTATCTTGTGTGACGTCTCCTTTAGCTAAGGCCCAATAAAAAATGAAAGATTACAAGCGCCTTATTTGCATAAGGCCCCTATAAATAAGGGGGGTGGCCGCCATTATATGTACGTTGTTTTTGTCATTTAGAGAAAGCAACAAATCTCAATATGCCCGAGCCAGCGAAATCTGCTCCAGCTCCTAAGAAGGGGTCTAAGAAGGCTGTCACTAAGACCCAGAAGAAAGGAGATAAGAAGCGTAGAAAGACTAGGAAGGAAAGCTACTCAATCTACGTGTACAAAGTGCTGAAACAAGTTCACCCAGACACTGGTATTTCTTCAAAGGCTATGGGGATCATGAACTCCTTTGTGAATGATATTTTCGAGCGTATCGCAGGGGAGGCATCTCGTCTGGCGCATTACAACAAGCGCTCGACCATCACTTCCCGGGAGATTCAGACCGCTGTAAGACTGCTGCTGCCGGGCGAGTTAGCCAAACACGCGGTGTCTGAGGGTACTAAGGCTGTTACCAAGTACACTAGCTCTAAGTAGATTGTATCAAAGAACATAAAACCCAAAGGCTCTTTTAAGAGCCACCCACATTTTCAATAAAAGAGCTCATAACACTTTTTTCTGTTTTCCCTGACTAGGGTAAGTGATTGTTCTAAAAATGTTACCTTACAGGAAATACATTTTTTAAAAAATCTAGATTATATCCTGATTTGCTAGGAAATGTATACTAAACATTTAAATTTCTATTCTTACTTGCGACGTCTCAAATCTTTATTTCGATCAAAGGTTCTCCTTCAACTCTTACTTATATGCTTGGCGGCATTCTAATAAAACATGAACGTGGTAGCTTGTATGTTTAGTAATCTATGCACGTAGTTGAATTTTTACTTAGCCAATCTCTCATATACATCTTGGTTTTCAGGAAAGTAAAACACTTCACAGGACAATAACTATACTATATTAAAGCTATTTCTATTTGCTCTTAATCGTTAATAAAAAATCATGTTGCTTATTTTGTGGGTGATGGGAGGAGAAGGGTTGTAGGTTATTTGTCACCCTCTAGATAACCCCAAAGTGCAATATAAAATAGAATTCCCTACCAAACTTTAGGCATATGTGGTATGAATTTCCTTCTTATCTGTCGCAGTTTGGGGTGGGGGGGTGTTGTAAGGAGGAGGGAGGTATTCAGAATCCTATATCACAAATCTGTCGCTTTCAAGCGGTGAGCGAAGGATTTAAAGAGAAAAACCAGCAGGTATTAAAATAGGGCTTTATTAAATTACTAGGAGAGCGTAATCGAGGCTATGTGGGCCAGAGGGAGCGAGTGTTCTGTGAAATCAGATCATGGAGGGTGCGGGAGGCAGAGGCGGTATAGGCACTACCGGAGGGCAGAAAAGGCGGGAAGGGTCAATTATTTCCCTCCCGGCAGAGCGCGGGCTTTTCAAATATTTAAAATTGTCCAATGGAGTTTGTCTTTTTCGCTAGCCAATCAGGAGGAAAACTTTGGTTATATATTCAGGGTTTTGCTCCAGCGGGTGTTGTTTTCCTTTGTCTGAAGGCAGGTTTTCGTAGTTAGTGAGAATGGCTAGGACAAAGCAAACAGCTCGCAAATCTACTGGGGGTAAAGCTCCCCGTAAACAGTTGGCTACTAAAGCTGCCCGTAAAAGTGCTCCTGCGACTGGAGGAGTGAAAAAACCTCATCGCTACCGGCCTGGCACCGTGGCTTTGCGGGAGATTCGCCGTTACCAGAAATCCACTGAGCTGCTCATCCGCAAACTGCCCTTCCAGCGCCTGGTGCGTGAAATCGCCCAGGACTTCAAGACCGACTTGCGCTTCCAGAGTTCGGCTGTTATGGCCCTGCAGGAGGCTAGTGAGGCATATCTAGTTGGTCTCTTCGAGGATACCAACCTATGTGCTATTCATGCCAAGAGAGTCACCATTATGCCCAAGGACATCCAGTTGGCCCGCCGTATCCGCGGGGAGAGAGCTTAAATTTCTAATAGGAGTTCATGCAACCAACTAAAAAAAACCCCAAAAGGCTCTTTTAAGAGCCACCACATTTACACTGAAAGGAGCTGTATTTCTGCTTTAATATTTCAATGGATTGTACGAACAGTAAGAGTACCAAAAAGATTGCGGTCTAGTAAGGAGTAGACAATTTAGTTGCATGTTTCGTTTACAGAAAGAAATGTCTAGTACTAACAGACCTTTTAAATTAATTAATAAATGTTTAATTTGGTTTAAGTTGCGCTAGAAAGACGGTTAACATTTTTTTGACAGGATGGAAGGAAGAATCAGTTAAAACTTGCGGGTTACTTTGATGGCCGCTCACATTTTCAGGGGAAGAACTCTGTTGGTAAGTAAAATAATCATAAATAAAAATCTAACACCCACCGGGTTTTGTTTTTTTTTTTTAACTTTCCACATTTCAGTTAGCTAACTCAGCCCCACAAAGCCAAGAGTTAGAAGCACAAAATGACTGTACTAATGACTCGCTGCTTGCAGTATCTATCCCTCTTCAGACCCCCGCTTGAAATCATGATTACTTTTCAAAGCCTGAATTTTTCACTTTCCCCGATTCCCATACACACGCTGAGCCGCAATGAATAAAATATTATCTTTCAGAGCAAAAATGACGGGTATGTCTTAGAACCCACCTTAAAAATACCTTTGGGTTACTGGTTTTCTACCTGACCAGTTCTATATCTACAGAATATAATTAACGATGTTAGATGACAGTCTTCTTCAGCTTTTAATTTCTTTCGAATTTAGCACTTAGAAATAAAGGGTAGCAACTTTTTGTAAGACAATATGTGTATATTTTATAAGAAATACATCCCTGGCCCTGTCCTCATGAAAAGTATATGAATTGTAAAATATAACGGGTATTTCATATTCTTTTAAAACCAAACAAAAACAGGGCTTATTTTTTATCTGAAGCCACACTGTGTGAATGAGCCAAAAGTAAAATCTAAATGTTTTGCCTAATATTGTAGTTATTGGCAGCTTTTTCATATTAGGTGGTTCCCTCTAAATTTCAGTATATTCTGTGGCTTTTACAAAATAGTTGATAGGTTAAAAATAGAGAGTCAGCTCTTCTGGTGGATGTTTGAGTGATTCCGGAAAGAGCATTTGTGTTGCAAATATGTTATTCATAATGTGGATTTGACCATCAAATCCATATGAAATATCCTCCTGCCCTTTCAGAGCACAGCCCAAATCCATGTCCATCAGTCTTTTGCTTGGCGAGTTCAGCTTCAGCATAGGTCCGAGAAAACCATCGCTGATCTCTCGCTAGATCTGTCACGAGATACGCTTCATGCCCCTACGGTGAGCCAGGATGTTATCCCTCAGTCTGCACCCTGCTGTGGTACTTTGCCGGGTCTTTCCCCAAACTCTTTACCTACGACCACCAGATGTGAAAATACAAAATAATCACGGTCGCGCTCCATGAAGCTACCCGTATCCCCCCAAGTCTGACCTGGGGGAAAGATGGTCATTTTTGGCACAATTCCCTCCCTCGCCTCCATTCTGTATGCAGCTGGGCTGAGATTTCCCAAGGCATGCAATAAACCCAAAAATAGATTTCAGAGAAAACAATGCCCCATTTAGTAGTTCGAAAATCAATATCAAGTCTACAGTTATAATTTCAATGGAAACTCACATATCCCCTTAGCCTTGGGGGTTGCGTTAAATATATTACTATAACAAGAACGGCTTTCAAGACACATTTTCTGTTACACCCCCTATACCCTTCCCCATTTCCGGTTGATCTTCTAAGAACACAATTCTACAGGGTGGTCACTTGAAATTCCCAGCATATTTTCGTGCTTCCTCTAGTAGAACAATTAGCTATAGTCTGTAAAATACACTTTTAAAAAGTGATGTCTGTCTTATTCGTGTTGCTATTTGAGACTATGACCCGCCCTAGCTTTAGCAACAGACTTGTCTTAACTGCATATACACTATGCTCAAATCGATTGATAAAGTGCCGTGGGAGATTTCTAGGAGTAAACATATATATACACGCACAAAAGGAAGATCAATTTCTACCAGCGTAACAATCTTTGTTGACCTTCACATTGGCTGTTGCTACTTGTTTTTTTTTTTGTTGTTGTTGTTGTTTTTTGAGCGGGGGTGGGGTGGGGGAGGTGGTTTAATGCTCCGCTGTTTCAGGAGTGAGCACTCTGCAGCAAAATCGGACCAATCAGATTTCCTGACACACCATCTTCCTTTCACTGCAGTCTGTGTGTTACCGCCGCCCGCCATTTCTAAAGTTTAATCGGAGCGGGCTATTCTGAAAAATACAAAAAATCCAAATCCAAAGTCCAGTCCTTGTCCGGTGTTCCATTGTCTTGACAGTTTTTTCTGTCACTTCTGAATATATGAATAACGTGTCCCCCCTTGCTCTCCCCCTGCCCCCCCATCCCCGCTCTCGAGTATCTGCTGGTTTTAGGAGATTTGATTGTTTTCGACAGAGAGAGAGATTCTTGTAAATGACACATTCACAGTGCGAAAATATATCTATAAAAACATTAGCGGACTTTTGGGCACTGTGACACTTCAGGGGTTAACCGAAATGTACAGGATGAATCACTACCACCTAGTTACAGTGAGAGAGAGCCTTGCCTGAGCTCAAGGGAAAAATCCTTCCATCTCGGCTGGCCGAATGAGCCTATGGGAGCATAAGCACTCCGCTCCCTGGGCTCTGTGTGTGAACCCGGCTCTTTTCCTCTTCACTCTGCAGCAGGCTAGCAATTAGCACATTCCACCTTGTTACACTCCAGTGCCCAATCCCTTTTCTTCTGGACACCCTCAATGTACAGGGGTCTGCTGTCTCTGTGTACCCCAGCTCACCACTCTCCCTTCAGTTCAACACTCTCTTTCGTGCAAGGCACTTGGACCTGTATATAGTAAATCTAAATATATGTTTATTTAACTCAGTTTAAGAAAAAGATCCAAAATAGACGTAAGTAAAAGGATTGGAAACACCAGGCTACAGAGAAAAGAAAAAAATAAAATACAATCTAGAACCTATGCTTATTAAGTTCATTTCCAGTGTAAGAAGGCATTTCTCAGGTAATTGCTAACCCTTTCAGTGCTCCTCCAGTCACGATAGCTGGGATCCAAGTACTTCTGTTCTTTTCACTTTTCAGTAGACACTCCTGATGGCAGAGTGCCACATGCATAATGGATAACATCTTGCACCTTTTCTTCTTCTCCTATATAGTCCCAGGTTTCAGAGGAACAGCCGTGTTAGTCTGTATTCGCAAAAAGAAAAGGAGTACTTGTGGCACCTTAGAGACTAACCAATTTATTTGAGCATGAGCTTTCGTGAGCTACAGCTCACTTCATCAGATGTATACCGTGGAAACTGCAGCAGACTTTATATACACACAGAGAATATGAAACAATACCTCCTCCCACCCCACTGTCCTGCTGGTAATAGCTTATCTAAAGTGATCAACAGGTGGGCCATTTCCAGCACAAATCCAGGTTTTCTCACCCTCCACCCCCCCACACAAATTCACTCTCCTGCTGGTGCTAGCCCATCCAAAGTGACAACTCTTTACATAATCAAGTCGGGCTATTTCCTGCATAGATCCAGGTTTTCTCACATCCCTCCCACCCCCATACACACACAAACTCACTCTCCTGCTGGTAATAGCTCATCTAAACTGACCACTCTCCAAGTTTAAATCCAAGTTAAACCAGAACATCTGGGCGGGGGGGGGGGGGGTAGGAAAAAACAGGAGGAAACAGGCTACCTTGCATAATGACTTAGCCACTCCCAGATGTTCTGGTTTAACTTGGATTTAAACTTGGAGAGTGGTCAGTTTAGATGAGCTATTACCAGCAGGAGAGTGAATTTGTGTGGGGGGGTGGAGGGTGAGAAAACCTGGATTTGTGCTGGAAATGGCCCACCTGTTGATCACTTTAGATAGGCTATTACCAGCAGGACAGTGGGGTGGGAGGAGGTATTGTTTCATATTCTCTGTGTGTATATAAAGTCTGCTGCAGTTTCCACGGTATGCATCCGATGAAGTGAGCTGTAGCTCACGAAAGCTCATGCTCAAATAAATTGGTTAGTCTCTAAGGTGCCACAAGAACTCCTTTTCTTATATAGTCCCAGAAATTTTGTTTCTTTTCATAATCAGGGTAGTCCATTAACTTCATTTCAGATCAGCCCTGGTGGTGCCCTATTCTGAGTCTTTCTTTATAAATGATCAGGCCTGCGCCTGGTGCAGTAAACACAGGGCTGGAATGATGTTGATTGTTCTCACTCTTGGCTGAGGTATTTGCGCCCCACCTGCCTCAGGTGACATGCTTCACCTGCAGCAGCTTAGGAACAGAGTATCCCACATTTTACATATCTCTTAACATAGTTTCCGTACAAATGTCTCACAGTAACTCTGCCAATCAGCTAGTTCTTAGCTTTTGGCAGAGATCACACACTTTCCCCCACCCCCCTCCTCCCATGATGAAATAAGAAGAAGCAGGTCAGACATAGGTGTAATATGCCTGCCTGGTCATGTCTGGGCATGCCTACATCATAGGCAAAGTTGGTGGACATTCCAGCAGCATTTTCTGACCCACCAAAAGACACCAGACAAGGCTAATGATGGAGGAGGAGGCGGACACAGATATGGCAGACTCTCACTGGGTGACGCTGCTCATGACATTCAGTAAAGCTACTGATGCCCCTATGTAGATCAGTACTTCTGGAGCAGGGGCACAAGCACGGACGGATGGGACCTACGGCAGGTCCAGAACTTTGTATGAAGAGAGCAACTTCTCTGGAGCTTTGCGAGCATCTTGTCCCGACCCTCCAGCGTTAAGGGACATGCCTGAGGGTGGCCATGCTGGCCCAGAAGCACGTTACTATAACCATCTGGAAGCTGGCTACCCAAACTGCTACAGGTCTGTTGCCAACCAGCTTGGTGTTGGAAAGTTACCTACAGGTAAAGTGGTGCTGGAGGTTTCTGAGGTAATCAGGTGGGTGGTTTACCACCAAGTGGTGGACATAAAAGATATTCTTGAAGTAGCTGCTGGTTTTGAGAATATGGGGTTTCCAGACTACGCTGAGGCCACTTATGGGAATTGTGTGCCAATAGTTTGCTCTCTTTAATCTCAATATAGATTCAATATCTAAGGATTACTCCTCCTGGTGTATGATGTGCTGGCATTTAAACAATGGTGGGCCCCAAACCAAAATGGAGTCACATGTGCTAACTTTTCCTTAACAAACAAAACCGTGAACAAAGTGTGAACAAGTGCAAGCAGTGAGAAAATTTCCAAGAAGAAAACCCTCTATTGTGGTGTATCCCCCTGTCCTTCCTCCGGTTCTTCTTTCCGTTTGTTACATATTTGCTGTGCGATGGTCACTGGGTGTGGGGGATAGAGGCATCACAGGGTGTGGGGAGAAAGGGTTCAGCATGGTGGTCTGCAGGAGATACATTTGGCCTGTCCACCCCCTGATAGGGCTCAATTGCCTGGTCCACCAAGCCATGGAATTGTCCAAACTGGTCCTTGTCTGTTGCACATTGTACCACGGAGGGGACTCAGGCTGTGGGGCCAGCATTGCAGGAGCCTAGAGACTGCAGTCTTGCAGCTGTTAGTGAAAGCAGCTCCTCAAACAGTTCTTTCTGCTGTGATCTATCTTCCTCCCTTAATTGCTGTTCTTCTTCCAGGAACTGCAAAGCAAGTGTCTGCTCCCACACTGAAATTCTGTCCTCTAGCTTTGCGTCTAGCCTGAGCCTTTCTGCTTGCTTCTCATCTTGCCTTTCCACTTGCTATAAGTCCCTCTCTCCTTGATATTGAACCTGCTTGTTGGCTCTGTCCAGAATATCAACCATAAGTTCATCTCAAAAACACTTCCCTTTGGAAGGCACCATGACGGTGTTGTGATGACCGATGCTTCTACTGGAATGTGGTCAAGATGTCCAGTCTTTTGAGGTCAGTGGAACTGGAAGTGGACAAGACACTGAAGGTTAATACCTCAAGTGTCTCAGTGCCTCAGCACAGAACAATTCCTTTTGGTATTTCAAGGCATAAAAAAATGCTACTTTGTGAAACTTCATTATATTGTTAGAGGAACACTTCAGAACACAGAATCTCCCTGGACAAAGCCAGGTTAATTGCAGTGAAAGAGGCAGACAGAAGTCAAAAATCAAAGCCACTTTCTCCTAAAAATTGCAAGCCAGTTTGGGCTTTGTTGGAGGGTGGTTGTCAAGTTTGCCTAAGCCTCCTCTATCAATTCCAGCATGCCACATTTTGGAGGACATAACATTTCTTGAGGTTCCCAAGGAGCAAAAAGAGGTTTTATTCGAAGCTGCAGGTGGGAAGCCAGCTATGTACGCCACTGTAGTACTCAGGCTTGTGGTGAGTGAACTGCACATATATGAGTGGAGTGGCTGGTCAGAAACTCTTACCCTGACCACAGCCCGGCCATGATAAGAGCCATGTAGGCAGATGTGGGGAGCCACAGCGTGGACCCTCCACTTGGCCTAGGCGGAGGACCCGGAGGGCGGGGATACTGGCCGGGGGCTACTCTCAGGCCCCTCACCCAGGGCAATTGGAGGGTCCACTGTGGCTCTCCACAGCTGCCCATGCGCTTCTTATCATGGCTGGGCTGTGGCTCCAAGGCCCTGCCCCTTGGCTGGAGCTGGGTTGGGGTAAGAGCCACCACGCAGGCAGCTGTGGGGAGCCGGCGCGGAGTTATGGACCCACATCTTCACCTGCCTTGGGCCGGGCGGAGGGCCCAGGGGGCGGGGACATGGGCAGGGGGCTGCTTTTGGCCACCCCTCCCCACCCCAGGTGGGAGGGGGGTTGTGTTGCATGTGGCTCCCACAACTGCCCAGGCTCCCCTTCTGGGCTCCACTAGCTGCTGACCTGGCCAGGGGTGGGACCTCAGGGGGAAGAGGAGGGGAAGGGGGCAGGGCGACCCTGGCAAAAGGTGGATGGGCCAGGTCTGTCCATTTTCAAAAAGTGAGAAGGCCTTGGCCCCCTGGCCCCTCTTGTTTCAGCGCCACTGGGCGGAGGCGCTGGTGGGTGGGAGGAGCTGATCGATGGGGTCCACCGAACAGCTGATCAATAGTTGGCTGGTGGGTGCTGAGCACCCACTATTTTTTTTTCTGTGGGTACTCCAGCCCTGGAGCACCCATGGAGTTGGCACCTATGGAGCCTGAAGAGTGCTGCACTATTGTCCTGAACATTGCAAATACAGGAAGCACAATCCTTTGGTATTTGCAGGGCTAGAGCAAGAACTGCAATAACGGGGGACATGATGATTTATTTGAGGACAGATTGCTATGAGACATAATGAAAACCATTTCAAGGTTGTTGGTGGCATTCATATAGCAGCTGTGGATTGCTGAATACTGCTTCTGGGCCTGAGAAATTAGCACTGATGGCGAAGATCATGTCATAATGCAGGTTTAGCACGCCAAGCAGTGGCTGTGGGACTTGCAGATGTGAAAGGCCATATTCCTGGATCCGTTTGCCGAGCTCATCACAGCCCTCCAGTGCAGGGAAACCAGAACGAGAGCTGCACTTTCAGTGGAGATGTGAATGGTCATGGATGGAGGATGAAGCTTCCCTGGGGGAGGCTAGCTCCCTCTCCCACCTTTTCTGCCCACAGCCCTGACCGCACGCTACCCCCACTCCACCCCAGGCCCCTCCCCGCTCTGCCCCAGGTCAGCACCCTGAACCCCCACCTGTGGCCGCTGCCCCATCCCTGAGCCCCCTTCTGCACCCAAACTCCCTCCAAAAGCCTGCACCCCAAACCCCCTCCTGTGCCCCAACCCCTTGCCCCAGCCCAGATCCCCCTCCCACATGCAGAACCCCTCATTTCTGGCACCACCCCAGATCCCTCACCCCACCCAGGCCAGAGGCCGTACTCCGTCCCACACCCCAACCCCCTGCCTCATCCCAGAGCCCCCCTCCCATACTCCGAACACCTCTGCCCCACCCCCCCAGCCTGGAGCCCCCTCTTGCACCCCAAACCCCTCATCCCTGGCCCCAACCCAGAGCACCCCCCAGCCAATGTCCTCACCCCCTCCCACACCCCAACCCCCTGCTCCAGCCTGGTGAAAATAAGCGAGTGACTGAGGGTGGGGGAGAGCAAGTGACAGAGGGGGGGATGGAGTGAGTGGAGGCGGAGCCTTGGAGAAAGGGCAAGGCAGTGGGCAGGGCTCATAAAGGGGTAGGGTAGGGGCGGGCGAGGGTGTTCGGTTTTGTGGTGGGGTGATGTACGGCGCATACATCCCTATTCTGGCAGCAGCCCATCTCACCAGAGAGTACATCAATAGAAAGGGCTACTTTTTATGGTTATGCAAATGTTGGTGGATCACTGGGGACATTTCATTGACATCAGTGTGGGTTGATCAGTGAAGGTGTATGATGCTCACATCTTCAGGAAAGCAGGACAGTTCAGAAAGCTAAAAGCTGAAACATTCTTTCCTGACAGGCAGCTTATCACTGGTAACATTGCCCTGCCCATAGTGATCCTGAAGGCCTCAGCATACCCCTTGCTCCCCTGCCTCATGAAGCCATAAACCAGCCATCTCACCAGCACCAAGGAAAGATTCAACTACTAGCTTAGTAGATGCAGAATGACGGGCGAACGTGCTTTTGCAAATCTGAAAGACTCTGGCAGTGTTTACACAGAAGATTGGAATGCAGTGAGAAAAATATCACAGTGCTTATAACTGCCTGTTGTGTCCTTCATGATATCTATGAGGCAGAGGGGGAAGGGTTGCCTCCAGGGCGGAGGTGGAGCGGCTGTCTGCTGACTTGGAACAGCCAGACACAAGGGCCATTACAAGAGCTCAACACGGAGCTATGAGGCTGAGGGAGACCTTGAAAGAGCACTTTAATGGTGAGCCACATTAATGTGCTATGGCAGAGTGTGCTTAAGCTGGCCCTGAGGTTTTGGGGACTGTTAGGAATTGTGTAGTGCTGCGTGTACATTTATGAATATTACACAGTCTTTTAATGAACCTATAGATTATATGATGTTTGCTGTACATTTATAATTATTATACTGCATGTTGCAGTGAACCTAGGAGTTCTGTGGTCCTGTAAGATTACAAGTAATGGGAGCATGGAGTAGTGCTAAGCATTCTGCAGCATATGTTGTGACGTAATGAAGTTGAATTTATGTAAAAAAAAAAAATAGAAATGTATTGCATACCAAAAACAATGCAAAGAAAAAGTGCAATTAAAAATAAAGCAGTACAATACCAACTTCTACAATAAATTAATGGAATAGAACTTTAAAATTAGAAAGGTGGAAACATTCCTGTCTATTTCAGTCCATTTTGGCTACACATATATCAGCTGTGGGTCTCCCAAGTCAGCGTATATGAAGCTGTGGTTCTGGTCTGTCCCTTAGCATAGGGCGGTAGGGGTAGGGATGCAGCCTATGATGCGAAGTGGAATGTTGAGGGGTATCGGGACCTGCTAAACTGGTGTACTCCAGTGACTGCAGAGGGTGGTGAGGCTGTGGTTGGTGGACCTCTAGGTTAACAAGAATCTGCAGCATTTGTGTTCACTGTCTGAGAAGTTCCATTATGTCCTGGTGCATCTCCCTCTCCTCTTCCTGCTGGGACACGTGGGCCTTTCTCCTGTCCACTCTTTCCTTCTGCATTCTGTCTGCCATATTCACCCTCTGAGGCACTTCTTTCTCCTTCTCATCAGGGTCAGGCATTCCACAGGAGGGGGTGCCCATCAAGGACACAAAGGCAGCAGCAACAGATAAAACAGACACGTATCATCATAATAAAAACAGAAAGTTAAGTTTCAGACTTATTCCCATAAAAGTTTTAAATAAGGCATGCTTATTGACACTTCAACTTTGGTGTGCCTCTGCACACTATCCTTCTCCAGCCCCAGCCATCGTCAGAATAGCCCATTAGGGAGAGGGAGCAAAGGGGAAAAAGATGAGGACAGAATTTTTCTGTTGCATGAAACAATAAAATATCAACCCATATTTCCATGGGTATTGTTACCTGAAATTGGGCCAGCTAGTAAGCTTAGGGAGAACTAATGACCCACGAGAGTTTGGCAGAAAGCATCACGTTTATTATACTGATAACTAAGTTCAAAAGAAGTGTGTGTCGGGGGTGTCACAGTCAGACCCGAATACTAATGCTCCCAGGACAGGCACAGCACTGGAGATGTCAGGATTCTTCAAGGTAAGTGTATGAAGGTAAGTCTTCCCGAGGCACAATGGAATGCAACGCAGTGAACCACTGGTCAGGCGGTCCGGGCAAAGGGCCTTCACAGGGAGGTACAAGCTTGTGAGTGCACTCCTGAGCATGTGGCCCCTTCCCCTTTTAAGGACCTGCTGCTCATGGCCTGCGACTAGAGATGACTTGGCCACGTCCGATTGGTCACACTCCACCTCAGGCAGTGTCCATGCAGTGTCCATGCACTGGGGGTGTGAGTGCTGCCTAATTAGAGTCCCAGACGCCTTGTCTACCTGGGAGCTCTTCTGATCTTCCAGCTGTTCAACCAGCCCATTCATCCCACAAGCATTCCAGGAGGGAGGGGGAGGGGGAAAGCCACTTCACAGGTATTCAGAGAGGGAGAGGAGACAAAAGGTGGGGGAGGGGCAGGGAGTGTAACAGACCTTTTGAGCATACAGGTTATACAGAGCAGAGTCATACAGAACATCCAGATCACTGCTGCTCCTTCAACAGGTATGAGTACAGGGCAATGGCACCACGTATGGGCACTATTGCATCCGATGAAGTGAGCTGTAGCTCACGAAAGCTTATGCTCAAATAAATTGGTTAGTCTCTAAGGTGCCACAAGTCCTCCTTTTCTTTTTGCGGATACAGACTAACACGGCTGCTACTCTGAAACCTGTTTTCCACAGTTGGTGATGATTTAGCTGATATCTTACTCCTGAGGGTAACAAAGGCACAGAGACCACAGCTGCTGCTCAAGTTCTGAACAGCCCAGGCCTCTATGCCACAAGCCAGTTTACTTCAATGGTGCCTGCCAAGTTACTGCAGAGTGGTGTGGGAAAGTGCCTGATCATGGAGGACGAAATAAGGCAGCCATCTCTAGAAAAGCTTCAGAAGAGGATTGCAAAGTACGTCCATGGAAGTTCCATTGAGGTCTTGCAGGAGGATACAAGGGATAAGTACATAAACTGCCATGCATGCCCCCGCTCCCAACCTAACCCTACAGGGGAATGAAAAGCAGATAACAACACTACCTCTGTTTGTTGTACCTCTGTGTCTTCTCATACAAGTAAAACCATGAAAAGGGTTTTACAGGGATCCCCTAAGTCAGATATATGCCTAGTAATTCACTGAAGGATGAGATGTGAGTTCTCTAGAGCCAGTAGCCTGCTAGTCATCATAATCACTTTTCTTTTTGCAAAATGTATGTATGCATACTACTTAAAGAGTTATGTTTCTGTGCTGAAAATTATGTTCTTAAGGCAGGTAACCAATATGTGACATGTCTTAAACAAGTTCCTTTCAAGCAGGAGGTAACAGATACTTTTATGACAGGTTTCAGAGCAGCAGCCGTGTTATTCTGTATTCGCAAAAAGAAAAGGAGTACTAATGGCACCTTAGAGACTAACCAATTACTCCACAAGTCCTCCTTTTCTTTTTGTGAATACAGACTAACATGGCTGCTACTCTGAAACCTGTCATGCAAGGCACTGAATTTAGCCATGTAGAGTGGAAATCTAAATTTGTTAGTCTCTTAGATGCTTTTATCTATGTCTGGTCATGTCTGTATTGGCATTACATGTCTCACAATGGATGCTGGTTTGCATACTGAGACACATGCTAATCAAGAGATTGCAAAATCTTTAAGAGAAGACATTTACAGAAAGAAATAAACAACAGAAGGGGATCCTGTTTATGAGTAAAGACAATGGATTGTTAGGGTATATGTAGGCGTGTAGAGGTACACCTTCGATCCTTCCCCCAGGATGAAAACTAACTGTGTCTTTCTTATGAAAAGACGGTCACAGCCAAGCCTGGCTGTAAAATGCTAGAAGGACTTAGTCTATAAGACATGAAAACATCAAGTTAAGTAAATCTTGGTTCTAGAATGTGTCTTATTATTTTACTTTATATGTAACCATTTGTTTCCACTTGAATCTCTGTACATTGTTAAATAAACTTTTAGTTGTTTTTACTATAAGCATATCTAAGTGCAGTGATCTGAAGGGAACTGGGCAAGCTGGGATTTACGGTCTCTTTGGAAGCAGCAAATCTATGACTACTGTGAGTGTCCAGTGGAACAAGGACTAGACACTCCAGGAAGGTACTCAGAGGGCTTGCGGGTTGGAGAGTGACTATTGCCACCCTGTAGTGAGAAAGCAGGGCCTGCATAGACCTAGGGGGGAGTGCTTGTGTTACCCGTTGCTGGTGGAGTTCGGGAGATGATCTATGGCAGGCACAGATAAGGCTTTCTCATGTGAAGGGCAGGGGGTAGTGAGATGCTTCACAACTCTGGGTACCTGTGGGGAGCATCGTCACACCACAACCTGAAATAATGTAAAACACATTTCTACCAGTGGTTTGTTTTGCTATCTTTCCCTGCAGAGCACCCCCACTCCCCAAAAGCCCTTGCCAGATTAATTGTGCTATATAACGTACAGGAGTCACTTGCCATTGCCTTGCTCAGAAACAGGAAACCTGGCACACAGCAGCCAGCAAACAGAAAAGAGTAAGGATGAAATGGAATGGAAGGGCAGATAGTAGTTCCAGTTTCTGCTTCACTGTAACTTAGAGTGAAGGGGTAGACACTTGTTTCTTGGAACAAAAACCATGAATTAAATAAATAAAATTAAAATTAAAATAATGTATCATTGTCTTTCTTTCCAGGTCTGTCAAACCAGGGAAGGACAGACTTTCTCTGAGGAGGCCCCTCATGGTGAGACAAAGTCTGCTGAATCTTTGCAACAGCAGAAAAAGATCCAGAATGACCTGCTGCAGGATGCGCAAAAGGAATTTATCAGCTGGTTAAAGCAGTGTCCAAGTCCTAAGTTCCAGAACATGAGGCAGTGGGCAGCCCTGAAAAAGAAGTGCTGGAAAGCAGGGCAGTGGGAAGCCCTGGGAGGGAGCAAAAGAGAGCAGGCATTGATTCCCTGGAGAGTCCCTCCCATCCTCACCTCCCACTACCTGTTCCTGGTTCCTGCTCCCATGAAGGGATCCGTTGTTTGGGTGTCTACACTATCTGGTTCCTGACATCACCAAGATCCAGCTCCAGCTCTGTCCTATGTTCCTGGTGACTCCAGTCCCCATGCTCCTCTGCCCAGTCCTAGTGGCAGTATCCCTGGCTCCCTTTGTGCTCTCCTGCTACCGAGGGCTCCCTGCCTGGGCCTGGCATTAGAAACTGCTGGCTCAGAGGCTGCTCTGCAGACAGGGACAGAAAGGACATACGTGGCCCAGGACCAGAAATACTGGAATACTCTGAGTCTGCAAAAAAGTGCCAGAACAGCATTCCAGAGCATTCCAGCACAACTTGAGCACTGGGTTGAACAAGCTTTTTGAACTGGACCTGAAAAAACAGGATGCAAAAGGGAAGATGCTGGAGTGGAAAGAAAAAAATGGTGGCAGATTCTCTACAACATTATTGGGAGATGAGGTGAAAAGACTGGGAAATGAAAGAAAGAGTCAGAAGTGCATGTCTGGGAGACTCTTTGGTACGCTTGTCTCCAATCCTGGATTCCTCTGAACCCAGGGCCAGTCACAGCAAGTCACTGCCATGTACTGCAACTTGTTGAGAACATGGGGCGGGTGGAGGGGGTTGAACCACTTCATGTATAATGGAGGTGCACGTGGTCAGTTGTGCCGTACCTTCACAGGGGAAAGAGAACAGGCATGTGACAACATGTAATTCCATGAAGTTTGACATTACACTTTAATTTTCTGGTTTTTGCACTTTGTTTCCATTTGTGTTTCTGAGGTTTGTTGAGTGTTGGTTGTTTTGTTTAGGGTTAGCATAGTTTTGGAATTGCACCTGTCAGGTGGAGGGTTCCCAGGGTTGGGGAAAGGGGCCCCAGCCATACTCCTGTGCAGAAATACCAACCCTTCCTCCTAAGTGGGTCAGAGTTAACAAGCACCCCACTTTTACCTAACCCAAGGAAAGCCAGGATAAGACGCAGATCAGGATACCTAGGAGTGCTTATACACTCTCCCTTGCTCCGGCACAGCATACAGCAAAACAGTCCCCGCCCCCCCATGCCTGGCTAGACACACATACACGCTCTGTGCCAAACTAGTGCAATCCCCTTCCCTCTTTGGGTCAGTCCAAGCTGTCTGTGTGCTTTTGACTGGTAATGGTGTGTGGTATGAGTTCAGGATCTGTTACGTGGTCTTAGCTCCTGTCAACTCCAGCTGTGGGTTTATCATGAGTCTCCCTTTTGTCAGCAGCTGGCTCGCCTCCAAGCAGCTCTTGCTTTGCCCTAGTTTAGGGCTCCAGCCTCCTGCCCTGCTAAATTGTCTCCTTTTTCAATTTTCCTGGCCATGCCCTGTCCCGCCCCTTCCCACTCTCCTTACCCCATCACTTATTGTCTCAATTCCTCCCTGCCGCAGAGTTAATTCTGTGTATTTGAGTGGGACTTCTCCCCAGGCAATTAGGTTTGTGCAGAGTAGTAGAAATGCATGGGCTGGGAGGGGAGAGACAGGAAGGGGGAGGATCTCTGGCTAGTTCCTCAACTTGTTCTGCTTTCTTGCATTTGCACTTTAGTTTTTGGCAGATGGACCATCTGTGTTAAAAACTTTCAATAAACAAGTTTGGACAACAGTCTTTTGCTTTGTATGCTCCAAAGAATAACACTGAAAACATTCACATCTAAATGCACATTTTTAACTGAAGTCTTAGATTTAAAATGAATACAAATGGCATAGGACCAGCTCAATACAGTAATTATGATTCCCCGTTCTACCACCCCCTGTTAATTAATATGAAATAAATGAATAAAAAAATAATAATTTACTGAAAGTCTGACATTATTTCAGGGACATTGCCCACCTTCACAGCACAGCAATAATCGCCTAGTAAACATCCACCATTACAGAACTGACAGTTGACTTGCCAACATCACACTAATTGCCCACAGATCTGTCACCAGTCAGGGTAACCAGGTTCTAAAGGGAAATAGCAAATTGCTTCTGGACCACTATTGGCTTTCTCATCCTCAAGTCCAGGGACTGGAGTTAGCTTCTCACACAGCTCCAGGAACACGACCTACTCACATGAAAGTTCTGGGCTCAGTGCTGATTATTCCAGGTCTGCATGACAATATAGTACCACCATTCTGTGACTGTGGGCTTACTCTCAAACCACCACTTGGCATTGGGGGATTCATCCACTATTAGATACCACATTTGCTGTCTTCATTCCTCCAATTCATGCAAGCAGCTTGTGTGATCTCCTTAAGAAATCTTTCTAGTGATGCCAAGTCCCTGCCAACACATATGTCTCAGGCCCTGGCTTTTCATTCTCTTGCCAGGTGATAGTTGCATTAATGTAAACATTCAATACAGGGCATTGCTTTGAGTTGAATCCATGTCTTGACACATGTTGCAATGAAGGCCTCGGACAGATATCTGGAACATGTGCAGCTGGAACTGGTTTACCTTCATGAGTTGCTGGTTTCATAGTATTTCTGCCCAAGATCCCCAGATGTGACAGATAGGGTCTCCTACAATACACTGTGAAACCATCCATAGAGTGTCACAGTTTAATACGTTACTTTAGGTCTTTAGTTCCTGGTTTTCAGAGCGTAAGTATGTACATTCACTTAAAGTCTGTAAGGGCACCAGGAAATGCTGGGCAATTTTAACCATGCTAACAAAGTTTTGTGGTCTAAATTAAGGATATTACAATAGCTGTATTGGGCAAAAGCAGGGTGGATAAAAATTGATGATTTTTTAAAAATACAATATTTGTTTTAATTTAAATCAGATTTTTTTATTTTGCTATTTAAATTATAATAAGGTTTTTTGTTTGTTTGTTTGTTTTTAAAAGTAAACCTGATTAAAATGAGTAAATACAAGGAGGAAGGGAATGACATCAATAAGTTTGAAAGGCAGCCTAAGTAACTTAGGAGACTATCTCATTCAGGAGCAGTGGAAGCACCCTGAAAGTGGGGGAGGCCACAGATACCTGAATCATGGCCCTGCCCCTTCCCTTGCTGTAGCTCCCCCCAGGTCCTGCCCCCGCAACACCCCTTCTCTCTGAGCCTCTGCCCTTGCATTGCCCCTTCCACTCCAAGGCCCCACCCTCACACCACCCCTCTCCCTGAGACCCAGCTCCGGCACCACCCCTTCCCCCCAAGATCCCGCCCCTGCTTGCTCCTCTCTGGACCTTCTCCCCATCACTCACCCCTACAGCTGATAAAAAGTTGGAGGGCACTGTCCCTTCCCTCTGCTCCTCTTCCCCTCCCCGCGCCCCCACATTCTGTCACCCCTGGTCTCATTTTCAAGAGACTTAGGCAAGTAAGAATTTAAGCTCCTGACATTTTTCCAGGCTGATCTGAGATAATCAGCTACATTCACTGACTGCAGTTAATCCTCCTTGTAATAAATCATTTAGTTGTAAATGTGAAACATGTTTTGTTAAGAAATATTTATGTATCCAAAACATTTTAAGTTATTTTATTTAATAAAAATAAATCTTATCTGCTGTTTTGGGTGTTTAATTCAATTCCAGTTACCATCTTATTGCAGCTTAACACAAAACATGAGCAGAAAAGTAATTATCTAGTAAATAAGCAATATATCATTCACAGTTTTCTAGCACACTAAAAGTGCACAATTAATAAGAATCTGAAAATATTAAGCTGTATAATTGCTTAAATAAATGCATATAGTGTACCCTCCTATGTAGCAAAAAGATGTACCAAGTCTAGTGTACGGGCTCTATTTAGTTGTCAATCAGCATGTTGTAATGGTTATATCAGCCAATAATAACTGAAGTATAAATGGAAAAGTTGATTAAAATTGATTACTTAAATCAAAGCTTTGCCTTCGATGATTTAAATCACCTTGATTTAAATCAATCCATTATGGGCAAAAGACTGTAAACAATAGATAAGATTATTTTTAGGCTGAATATTCTTATGATTCATTAGGCCAATGAGGACTGAAATGGGCTTTCTTATCCTTAACCACTGTGGTGGTGTACTGGACCAGGCCTCAGGACAACTGAGTTTTATTTCTGGCTCGACTGGTGGCTTTCTGGGTGAGCCTGGGCAATTCATTTTGGGCTTGATCCAGAAAGGGACTCTGATGTCTGACTGGAACTTTAGACTCCCAAATCCAATATTTAGGTCCCACTGAGTTCTTCAAGATTCCTCTTCAGCAGCTGTCTAACCCAGGAGGTGCCAAAATTTCTACTGGTAAAGTCTCCATGCTGATTAATTTTTTTCTCAGTGGGCATGCGCAAAGCCACCTAAATCCTGATGTCACTGAACTGCTCATACCTAAGTCCCAGCAGGATTCACAGATTAGGCATTCTGCCACCTGTTTTGCTTGTGTGGCCCAATCCAGTAGACATGCTCTGAATTGAACCAATCTGCACAAAGGACAGCTAGGATGTGATGCTGCTCTCCACTGATACGCAAGTGGTTATAACATTCACCTGGGATATGGGAGACTGAGGTTCTAATTCCTGATCCAAATCTGGCAGAGTGGGAATTCCAGTCTGCATTTCCCACATCCCAAGTGAATGCTCCAACCAGTGGCCTGCTGGTGGTGAAGAGTACCATCATCTCCACCTCAATTTTTCATAAGAAAAGGCTGGTGTGGTTTAGGTGCCTAACTCCAGGAAAGGGTTCATGTCTGTGAATTTCAAGTGGAGAGGAACCTCCCTACAGACTGGAGTTGTAGACTAACTCTCTGAAAGAAGCAGGGTTTAGGACATACCCTTCTCCTATGTATTTCCTACTGGCTAGTTTAGGCAGTTCCCAACTCAGCAGCTGGCTTCTGTGAATCTCATTAGGCATCAGGATACCTAAAAGTTAGGTTTTGCAATGCTGGTAATTGTAATAGTAACCATTGTCAAGTGTCTCACAGATTCATCGACTTTAAAGCCAAAAGTGACCATTGTGACTGTCTAGTCTGACCTCCTGTATGTTATATGCCACATGACTCCCCTGTAATAATTTATGTTTCAATAGTCAGGGCTGGCCTTACCATGAGGCGAACTGAGGCGGCTGCCTCAGGTGCCAGATTGTGGAGGGGCGCCACTAGGACCCAGAGTTTCAAAGTTTTGGCCCAAGCGAGGGGAAAAGGGCTCCCCGCTTCAGGTGCCAAAATGTTGTGGGCCGGCCCTGGCTATGCTTGAACTACAGCATACAGTTTAGGAAAATATATCAATCAGTCAATCTTGATTTAAAATTTTCCAGTGATGGAGAAGCCACTGAAACCCTGGTCAAGTTGTTCCAATGACTAATTGCCTTTACTGTTACAGATGTGCACCTTATTTCTAGTTTGAATTAGTCTAGTTTCATCAACTTCCTGATTGAAGCACTCTCTATTATCACATTTCTGATCCCCATTTAGGTATTAATAGACAGTTATCAAGTCACCTCTTAACCTTGTCTTTGACAGGCTAAAGAGTCTTTCAACTATAAGACATGTTTTCCAATCCTTTAATCATTCTTGTGGTTCTTCTCTGAACCCTCTCCAATTTATCAACATCCATTTTGAAGAGACCATTCAAGGTAGAATGGCTCATTAAACACCTCTACAGTCATAGGACAAAAATAGGGGGGTAGTGGGTTACAGATTGTTGTAATAAGCCATAAATTCAGTGTCTCTGTTCAGTCCTTGAGATTTTTAGTGTCTAGCAGAATTATGAATTTAAGCTCCCAGGCTCATCTTTTGAAAGTGTTGTGCAGTTTTCCTTGTCTGCCTATAGGTTGACTGTGGGGTAACTATCATAGTGCCTTAGGGAGGATGGCTTCAGCTGGTTGAGCTCCAAAAACCTTGTGGGCCTTGGTGCTACTGGATGACTTGCACCATTGTAGCTTCACAACTAACTGAACACAGTATTCCAATAGTGGTCACACCAGTGCCAAATACAGAGGTAATATAACCTCAGCTCCTACTTGACATTCCCGTTTATATATCCAAGGATTGTATTATCCCCTTTGGCCATGGAATCTCACTAGTAGTAAGAGCTTAAATTCCCTTACAATATTTTTTGAAGCGCTCCCCTCCCCGATGCCCCATTTGGAGCTCCAGGTTTTAGCCCCTGCAGAGTGGGGTGGGGGTGGGGAGGGTGTGTCTCAGGGCTTTAGCCCCACGGGGGCACGCCAGGGCTCGGGGCTTCAGCCCTGTGGGAGGCACCTGTCGGGGCATCTGCCATGCAGATTTGAAATATTTACTGGTGCTCCACTCAAGGTAGCTCCAGCTAAATTTAAGCCCTGCTAGGAGCTCATGTTCAGCTGACTATCCACCATGACCCCCAAGTCTTTTTCACAGTCATTGATTCCCAGAATAGATGTATGTTTGTAGATGTATGACTTTATATTTGAACATATTGAAATACATATTGTTTGCCTGTGGTGAACATACCAAGAGATCAAGTTTGTCCTGTATGAGTGTCCTGTCCTTTTAATTATTTCCATTCCCCCAATCTTTGTGTCATCTGCAACCTTCATCATTAATGTTTTTATTCCAGGTTACTGATAAAAATGTTAAATAGTGTATGGCCAAGAACGAATCCCTGCAAGACTCCAATGGAACCACAGCCACGCAACAACGATTCTCCATTTATAATTATATTTTCAGGCCTATCTATTAACAATTTTTTAATTGAGTGAATGTACACCATCTTGATTTTATACTGTTCTAGTTTATAAATTAAGATATCATGTGGTACAGAAGTCTAAATATATTACAGCAACACTGTTATGAATAGCATGATCAAAGAGACAAACTGAACGTTGAAGCTGTAGATCCATAGTACAATGTTTGATCTGGAAATGTAATCTAAAAATCACAAATAAATCATTATCTCCCTTAATTTCCTCCTTTGTAAAAAACCTGTACATTGTATTCTAAAAAGTAATTTAATACCTCATTTATGCCCCAAACCATGTGTGTGTGTATATATATCAATTTTTTTCTCAGTTTAGAATTCCTGAAATAGATTTTGTTCTGATCCTAGTGTGCATATATTTCAATAGGCTTTTATTGTATTGTTACCACTTTTGAACTAAGTAGATAGCCAAAATTGGGGTATGGTGGGATGTTTCAGCTGTGAGGAGAAATTGATAATATAGCCATTTTCTTTGATGCAATCTTCTTTATTTACAAAATTATACATACAGTCCTGTTTCCTCAATCACAGGAGCAATCAAAAAGCAAGAGAGAGTGTGCTGACTTTTCCAAACCTGACTTTTCAGCCAGCACTCTGCTTATACAGCTTTCTGTCTTAGCTTTGTCTCAGGGCCACATTACCAACATTTCTGTCTAACAGCAACACTAACTGCCTTTCTGACTCTGTGTCCTGAATGCATCTCATCCCCCCTCTTTCCCCAAACACACATACACAGTTACCCAAACAATGCTCAGATAAAGCCCTCTGCCATCATGATTAACAATCCTGGGTGGACTGGGTGATGGTGGTGAGCTGCTTAACTATCTCTCACCACTATCTTGTGGTAACTCACATCCATAACAAGGTTAAACAAAACGTACAAAAACTCATCCCTCCTAAGCTTTGTCCATCCTCCCAAAGAGGCTGAAAATGAGGACACAACAACAAATCCTAACCAGGAAAAAATGAAATAGTTCAACAAATTATATTAATTATGTACTATTAACTATTTACAGTGTCAGGATGTTTTCACAAAAACAACGAGGAGTCCGGTGGCACCTTAAAGACTAACAGACTTAAAGACTTCACACAACTAAGCCAAATTAATTTTTTTTTCATCCAAATCTTTTTGGATTTTTTTCTTTCAATCAGTGTAAAGAGGCCTCTTTCAATGAGCCCCTAAGGAACCCCTGTTGTTTCTGTGGAATTTGCTGAGTGATATATACTGTGCCCATTTTGTTCTAATTGGGAACTCATTTATGTTACAGTATTATCACATAATAATAAGTGAAGAGACATAATTCTGATTCTATGACATTATACAGTACAATAAAACAAATAAATTCTTAAGTTCATTCTCTATTGTTGCCCCAATTAGATTGTATACATAAAGAAAATACGTATATGTTTTACAAGTCAAAGCTAGTTTGCTCCTATATTGACCTATGAATCAGTCACACTTTGTATTGCTCTTCTGTGATCAGAAATTTAAAGAAAATATTTTCATTTATATGCATAATGAGATAATTTAAATGAACCTGGGAGACTTTGTGGTTTCTGGAATCTGTTCAATTAAATTAACACATTTACATCTTTGACCATGTAATTATTTTGTGCAACACTTTATTTTTTCCTGATATTCATTTATGTTGAGATTAAGTTAAAGTTGAGAATATTAATCCATAAAATTTTATAAAATATTTAAGAACATATTTTCATCATTAATTTTATTGTCTATGGCCTTAATATTTTAAATAGCCTTGTACTGCCTAGTAGTATGCAACTATGATCATGTATTAATCATAAGAAAAAGAATAAACTTTTTAGTTGTTAAAAGATTAGTTAGTGAACATGAGGGAAGATGTTCTATGGGAAAGATGCCATTTTTTTTTACTAAACAATATGTTGACCAAATGTCCTGATAAAATTGCACAAAGTATGAAAAATGAAGATTCTTATGGCACCAAATTAAATTCTCTTTTGGAAGAGACAGAAAAAAACAGTCTCACTAGTTCTACTTCTGATCTGTAAGTGATTTCTTCTCCTTTGGCCTTGACTAAAAACCTCCCTTCTCTTATTTCAGTTTCCCCTCTATTAAATGGGAGGATCCTGTTTGTCTACTGATCTCACCGCCATTTTGCCAAAATAAAGTAGTAAAAGTTTGCAACCATCTAAAAAGTACTGTATATGTGTGAAATGTTGTTAATATGGTTATGCACGATCATACTTCTGGGCATTATATGAATCTAAAGTGACCCACCTGATATTTACCTAACAGTGAAATATTATCTCTGTCCAGCAGCCGTCTGTACAGATGTTTAGATTGAAAGTTTCTGTGTTGAGCCAGGGAAGGAATTGTGGATAATGGTCTAAATTTCATTGTTGCAAATACCCAGGGATTACAAAATACACACTCCTGTTTCACTTGGTAAGTGTTCAGTCAAGAGCTAACTTTGGAACTATCCTTTTGATTATTAATTAATTATTATTATTATTAATCCTAGTAACTTGAGTCTTGAGCCAGAATGCAGAGACTTCCTTCTTCACTCCTCTCATCTCCCCCCAGCACTAACACTCGCCATTTCTTCCATGCATCTAGCATGTTCTCTGAGTCTGGCTCCTGTGAAATCAAAAACTTGTTTGTCAGTGATAGAAAATGGTAACATTCTGAATAATGGTAGAAATAATGGTGTTCTGTATTCTTGTCAATAAGTATGATAGACACTTAAACTGAAACAAATATGTTAGGGTAGTAAAGATTATCAATTAAAAAAACCCTGAAACAGCTAGGAACCATTGAAAAACTTGCCAGAAACAGACAGGAGTGGAGGAGCTTCCCGATGCCCTAAGTAATGGGTACCAACTAACTAACTCTCTCTTGCGTCTCCTGCGGTAATGGTGAGGGATGTTCAGGGCTCAGAAACAAATCTGTGGTTTCCCGAGCGATCGCGTTTGCAGCGATTCACAGCCATGCTCACAATGTCATACACTGCACAAATAAACAACCAAAGCAGAAACGTCAATCACAGTGAAACGAAGGAAAGAAGAGCGGGCCCCGCGCCCCGCTCCCGCCCGGGCCCCGCGCCCCGCTCCCGCCCGGGCCCGCTTTGCCGCATTGTCTGGCTCGCAGAGCAGCGCCCCCGCCCAGTCCCCCACCCCGACTCAAGCTGTAGAAAATGGCGGCGAACGGTAGAGACGGGCCAAGGAGAGAAGGCATGTGTCAGGAAACCTGATTGGTCAGATTTTGCCGCAGCCCACAAATCCTCGAAACCCAGAGAGGAGCGTTTTCAACCCCAAACAGCCGCCGACGCGCGACCCTCGCCCGGCAGACGCACCAGAAGGGCACCGAGACGAGCGGCAACGGAGTTTGAAAGCGGCCGTTGTTTTACGCCAGGGGCGCGGAGGACTCCACTCTAATTCCTGGAGGTAGGGCTTGATAAGGGGTTTCCGCATCCTACCTGGGGCTGAGGCAGGGTTCTAGGAAGCCGTTGGGGGCAGGGCCCGTATTTATTTTACGAGAAAGCCTCGGGGGGTGTAACTCTCGCAGGGAACAGACCCCTGCGGGTGCGGGTGGGGGAGAGAGGCGAGCGAAGAGCCCACCCTTTTTCTTTTCAGTTCTCAATCAGGTCGTCCCGCAGACACTATACCGAGACTTCGTACCGCGTCCAGGGAGTCGGTGGGCTTGTGCCTGTGATTTTACCATGTCCGGTCGCGGTAAGGGGGGTAAAGGCTTGGGGAAGGGAGGTGCCAAGCGCCATCGTAAAGTGCTTCGGGATAACATCCAAGGTATTACTAAGCCAGCTATTCGTCGCTTGGCTCGTCGCGGGGGGGTGAAGCGTATTTCGGGGTTGATTTACGAAGAGACCCGGGGAGTGCTGAAGGTGTTCTTGGAGAACGTGATCCGCGATGCTGTCACTTACACTGAACATGCCAAGCGAAAGACCGTAACGGCCATGGATGTGGTTTATGCTCTGAAGCGCCAGGGTCGTACTCTCTATGGTTTTGGCGGCTAAACGGGTCCCTAAAGTCAACAGGGCAACACAAAGGCTCTTTTAAGAGCCACCCACTTTTTCACAATTAGAGTTAAATCATTTTCTTAATATAGGAGACGGCTCTTAAAATTAACTCGAGTAACTCAGTTTTTCTAAGTCTTAAGACTTGTTTTAAATGCGAAGATCTTTACAGTATAAATAATAAAGTAACTAGGAATTTAAAGTTGATAGATTTCCACTCCATACGGCTAAATGCAGTGCCTTGCATAATGACAGGTTTCAGAGGAACAGCCGTGTTAGTCTGTATTCGCAAAAAGAAAAGGAGTACTTGTGGCACCTTAGAGACTAACCAATTTATTTGAGCATGCTCATGCTCAAATAAATTGGTTAGTCTCTAAGGTGCCACAAGTACTCCTTTTCTTTTAGGAATTTAAAGTATCCAGTGTAAAAATGCTTGTACATTCAAAGATTTTTTTTAAAAAAACATCTTACAACTTGGTGGTCAATACGTTTAACAGAGGGCAAGGACAATATTAGCGAAATTTGGGGTTTTAAGCCCAATAACCTGCTACATTTTGTTACCTCTTTTTGCAACTTTTTTTTTTTTAAAATCAATTGAAAAGAATACATATAAAACTCTTATAAAAAGCAAAGTAGGTCTGAAAAGAGCTTTTGGTTGTCGATACAAATATTTTTTCAGGTAAATTTAATTAGTACTTCTAGTAGCTGGTGATAGATTTAGTGCACTAAATTTAAAACGGGGCGGGGGTCTTTAATGACGTTTTTCCTTTATAGTACAATAAAAATACTAATAATGCATTGTTGGGGGTTTTTTTCCATAACGTCCTACTAGAGAACAGCAGCTATTATCCTCACTTTCGATCATAAAAGTCTTAAGAGATACCAGAACTGTCAAAATCTGCTCCTACTCCCAAGAAATGGTCTAAGAAAGCTGTGACCAAGACCCAGAAGAAAGGCGACCAAAAAAAAAAAGTAGAAAGACCAGGAAGGAAAGCTTCTCCAACTATGATTACGAAGTGCTGAAGCAAGTTCACCCTGAGACTGGTATCTTCTCCAAGGCCATGTGAATCATGAACTCTTTTTTTTTTTAAATGACCTTTTTGAGCGCATTGCCAGAGACACAACACAGCATGTTTGTCACTCTCCCCTGGCATCTACAAAAACAACGAGGAGTCCTTGTGGCACCTTAGAGACTAACAAATCTATTTGTGCATAAGCTTATTATGCCTAATAAATGTCTTAGTTTCTATGGTGCCACAAGGACTTCTCGTTGTCTTTGCTGATACAGGCTAACAACAGCTACCGCTCTGATGCTGTATCTGAAAGTACAAAAGCTGTCACCAAGTATACTAGCTCCAAGTAAATGCTCTTAATGCAGAAATTAATACCTAGAACCCAAAGGCAGCCACTCGTTTCCAGTAAGAGTTTATCATTTCTTACTTTTCCTCTAACAAATACTATCATTCAAGGAAGCCACCACTAATTTTACTGCTGAAAAACACATACGCTATACTTTAACCAAAGCACTAATTGTCGTTTACATACAAACATATTTAGCGTAAATACTCACGTATTTCATGTAAATTGAATAGTTTTTCATGTTAAGTTTTCACATCACAGCATAAGAACACAAGGATCATAGCTCTTATTGTGAAAAAGTGGGTGGCTCTTAAAAGAGCCTTTGTGTTGCCCTGTTGACTTTAGGGACCCGTTTAGCCGCCAAAACCATAGAGAGTACGACCCTGGCGCTTCAGAGCATAAACCACATCCATGGCCGTTACGGTCTTTCGCTTGGCATGTTCAGTGTAAGTGACAGCATCGCGGATCACGTTCTCCAAGAACACCTTCAGCACTCCCCGGGTCTCTTCGTAAATCAACCCCGAAATACGCTTCACCCCCCCGCGACGAGCCAAGCGACGAATAGCTGGCTTAGTAATACCTTGGATGTTATCCCGAAGCACTTTACGATGGCGCTTGGCACCTCCCTTCCCCAAGCCTTTACCCCCCTTACCGCGACCGGACATGGTAAAATCACAGGCACAAGCCCACCGACTCCCTGGACGCGGTACGAAGTCTCGGTATAGTGTCTGCGGGACGACCTGATTGAGAACTGAAAAGAAAAAGGGTGGGCTCTTCGCTCGCCTCTCTCCCCCACCCGCACCCGCAGGGGTCTGTTCCCTGCGAGAGTTACACCCCCCGAGGCTTTCTCGTAAAATAAATACGGGCCCTGCCCCCAACGGCTTCCTAGAACCCTGCCTCAGCCCCAGGTAGGATGCGGAAACCCCTTATCAAGCCCTACCTCCAGGAATTAGAGTGGAGTCCTCCGCGCCCCTGGCGTAAAACAACGGCCGCTTTCAAACTCCGTTGCCGCTCGTCTCGGTGCCCTTCTGGTGCGTCTGCCGGGCGAGGGTCGCGCGTCGGCGGCTGTTTGGGGTTGAAAACGCTCCTCTCTGGGTTTCGAGGATTTGTGGGCTGCGGCAAAATCTGACCAATCAGGTTTCCTGACACATGCCTTCTCTCCTTGGCCCGTCTCTACCGTTCGCCGCCATTTTCTACAGCTTGAGTCGGGGTGGGGGACTGGGCGGGGGCGCTGCTCTGCGAGCCAGACAATGCGGCAAAGCGGGCCCGGGCGGGAGCGGGGAGCGGGGCGCGGGGCCCGGGCGGGAGCGGGGCGCGGGGCCCGCTCTTCTTTCCTTCGTTTCACTGTGATTGACGTTTCTGCTTTGGTTGTTTTTGTAAATAAAAACATATTTTTGCATAATTATGAGATGATGAGCGTTGCTGTGAATAATCACTGGGAAATGAAATTATTTGGAAAACTAAAGTCCGTTTGCTTTCCAGCGACTCTGAGAAATCAAAGCTGTAAATTGAAAGTGGAAACAATTTCCTACCCCCCTGGTTGGAAGGGGCAATCACTCCAGGTTCTGACATGATATTAAAATTATGTATGAAGTCCTCTTCATGGTAACAGTATAACAATTATTTACGAACCTTTAGACCATTGAGAAACTTGGGTGAAAATAATGAAATAGTGAAATAAAGAGTTAAGGAATATATCAGCCATTTCCAATTTGGCCTCTGCTGCCATCTACTGGCTGTTCCAATTAATTAGTTTAAATCGTGGAGATTTCTAATAAGGCGTCTTTCTGTTTTCACTTCTAATATTTTATCGTTGTCAATAGTAGGATTTACCTATGTGTTGAATACTGGAATGTTTTTCCCATCAAGAGAAAGGGAAAAGAAGGACATAGAAACTCAGGGTATGATTTGTTTAAAATATATGAAATATAAAAATATGGCTATAGACGTGATTCCCTTGTTTGAAATATGTATACATTTTGATGTGTGTTCAACATACTCACCAATTTACTGCACCAAAACAGTGTCAATATATTTCGTGCTAGACCTTATTTGTTAAAGAAATAAAATCTGTGTGGACGGTGGTGGGGGAAGATTGCAACTGCTAGTTTCTCTTAATTTCTCAAATAAAAAATGATAGATGTGGCACATGAAATGAAATTTCACAGTATTAGCATGTTATGTACTTGAAATGCACCCATCAAAAATGCTCAGCTCTTAAGTTTACATCCACATTTTTTCTCTCTCATTTAATTGCACTATTTTTGATAAAAAGAAAAGGAGTACTTGTGGCACCTTAGAGACTAACCAATTTATTTGAGCATGAGCTTTCGTGAGCTACAGCTTACTTCATCGGATGCATACCGTGGAAACTGTCTGCTGCAATGAAGTGAGCTGTAGCTCACGAAAGCTCATGCTCAAATAAATTGGTTAGTCTCTAAGGTGCCACAAGTACTCCTTTTCTTTTTGCGAATACAGACTAACACGGCTGTTACTCTGAAACCTGTCACTATTTTTGATATTCCTTTTTCTGGTAAATCTCTCAAAAAACATTCTCTCCCTCCAGTGTGATTTGCATACAAATTTCCAATGAAAGGATTTACCACTTATACTTAAATGTTAATGCAAGGCCTTATATTGCTTAATTTTAAATAAATGGTATGCCTTCCATTTACTTAAATGGAAGAAGAATTGGTGTCTCTGAATATTGTTCCCCTTTCTTAACTTGTTCTATTATGTAAATTTTCATTTAGGAAATGTATTCATCTCTGATATACCAAAATAAGGAAAAGCATAACAGCTTTCAGTGTAAGGTGGGTACACAACTGGATGAAAGACCATATTCAAAGAGTAGTTACCAATAGTTCTCCATCAGTTTGGGAGGATGCACTAGAGAGTTCCCACATGGGTCAGTCCTGCATCTGTTACTATTCAATATTTTCATTAATTACTTGAATAATGGAGTGGAGGGTGTGCTAATAAAATTTGCAGATGACACCAAGCTGAGAGGGGTTGCAAACACTTTAGAGGACAGTATTAAACTTCAAAATGATCTTGACAAAAATAATTGGTCTGAGATGAAATCCAATAAGAAGAAGTGCAAAGTACTTCACTTTCGAAGAGAAAATCTAATTCACAGCTACAAATTGGGGAATACCTGGCTAGGTGTCAAAGTAGCAGCCGTGTTAGTCTGTATTCACAAAAAGAAAAGGAGTACTTGTGGCACCTTAGAGACTAACCAATTTATTTGAGCATAAGCTTTCATGAGCTACAGCTCACTTCATCGGATGCATTCAGTGGAAAATACAGTGATGAGATTTATATACACACAGAACATGAAAAAATGGGTGTTATCATACACACTGTAAGGAGAGTGACTGCTAAAAATGATCTGAGTGTTATAGTGGATCACAAATAGAATGTAAGTCAATTGTGGCTGGTGAGATGAAGGCAGCTGCGAGATTAAGTTGAATTTGCCTGCAGAGGGAGGTAGGGCTGTGTGTTTTTTGTTTTGTTTTGATTTTAGAACCCTCCATGGGAGGAAAACTATGTGTCACCAACAGCACTTCTAGCTCTTCCCCTGCCTCCACTTGTGGGGAACTCTGCCAGACAGGTATCTTGATCTTCAAGGCTTCCACCCAGGCC